CACATAGTACAAGAGCAATGTATCTAAATTATCAAACCCACCAATGAATCAAAATGGGGTGTTGAAAAATCAATGAAATACCATAACTTTAGTTGAACTAAGTAGTGGATAATAGATGGAAAAATAGATAGGTAACTTAGGAGGAGCTGTGTTCCTTTTTTGCGTCTAAATTATCAACATGATCCACAAGTGCTTTGGTTAGAAACTGATCCGTAAAATTACATCTCTTAATTATTTAATGGCTAGATTTATTTCAGTGTTGTTAAAGTTTATTAGACATAATAGTTTATCGTCTTTGTTAATAATACTTCTAATTGCTGCCATCTTACACAGTTACGCATCAACAGGTGCTACTGGAAAGCTATACGTTTTGGGGGTAATATATGAATTGGAGATAGAAGGATTAGAAAAAGTAACATTTTTGTAGTAGCTCTATAGTCTTCTATTTATTTGTTAGTCTCATGGACTGTTTGTTGAAGAATGAACAACGCCTTGGCATCTTTCTTCTTGATTTCTTTCAGATTCTCCTCCTCCTCTTCATTGGGTTCAAATATTTCTATGAACCCATACTCCACCAAGTCTCATAGCTCCTGCATTTTGAACAATGTCTTCACCTTGATGCTCCACCACTCATACTTCTCACCATTAAATTTGAGCAATTCATCTTTGCTGCAGCTGATGTAGAACCTGTGAGTGGATTTTCAAATTCTCAAAAGCCTTCCAAAAAAAAAAGTCTTGTAAGGTACGTGCAATCTCAAATAAGAGCAAGAAAAAAGATACATCATCTGAATCTGAAGATAGCAAGGTAAATAGTAACGAGGAGAGTGACGACTATGAAGAACAATATAGCGAATAACTAGGTCTTCCAGCAAAGGTCAAGGAAAAGATGCTGCGAAAGCTACAGCAACTAAAAAGGGCAAGGGCCATGGAATTGACCTCCATCGGCAGATAAAAGCCCCCATTGAAGGGAAAATATCGACTTTGTACGCTTCAGATTGTCTTCACTTCATTATGTTTGTTCTCATGTTTCGGTTAATGTTATTGATGAACTCCTAATAATTTTTTTTCCCTAGCTCCTAATATTTTTTCGCGGAGTGGGTAAAGTAAACACATTGATATGTACAGTGATTATTTATGCAGGGTCCTTTGGCATGCAACTATTTCCATTCAATTGGGAACTACCAGTGACGCCTGTCAACGACAGTTCTGCTATATCTTCAGCTAACGACAACCAAAAATATAAGTGACAAAGCGAAAACTTGCTATATCTTCAGCTAGCAAACAGCCAAAAATATAAGTGCCAAAGCGAAAACTGGAGTATTGCCTGCTTTGTCGGCGAATTCAATTGTAAATTGTAGTGTTGGTCTTGACAGATAGAATCATGAGTCCTCACAACATATGACATTAGCGGCGAATTCATTTGTACATTGTAGTGTTGGACTTGACAGATACAATCATGATTCCTCACAACATATAACATTAGCGGCGTGTTATGGTATAAATTGCGCACATACTAATGATTTTGATATCATTAAATCTATATGGTTTACTTGAATAAAGTCGATTCCTCTCATCACTGAATAGAGTAGAACATGTTTAGACTGCAAGTTACTAAAAGAGTAGCACTAACACAATTCTTCAACGAAAGTTACCGTCAGAATAGCTAACTAACACATTGTATAACCAAATGATATAAATTTCTTCATGTTGCGCCCAGACAAAGACCAATTCATGTAATTTTCTACTTTAATTAATATTTCTTCCAGTGGCGGAGGTAGAGGGTCGGGATCGGGTTCGACCGAACGCGATAATTTTGATTCGAATCCTGTGTCTTTTAACGATTAGAATCCCAAACTTATAAGCTTGAAATTTTGGCTCCGCCTCTGATTTCGTCTACACGCATTTACGTCTATTGCGCTATAACGAAATAATTTGACTAGCCAAAAGAAAAAAGTCAAGCTTTTCCAGAACCAATTTTCATGTTATGTTATAATATATGTTTTTTATAACACATTTCACTATAACATCAAAAAATATTCGGAATAAACGAGGCTGTTAT